AGCGACCTTTAAGAGTCACCACAACCTTGGCCGAGAAAGAACGCTGCAAGAAAATGCTAGATATGCACCAGCGCCATAAGTCCAAAGCCCCAGACAAAAAGACGATAAAGAAGAAGACCCCAGATTTAACGACACGATTACCATAAGAACAAGAACTCCAAACAAATAGAGAGGGGAAACGTCCATGTTTCCTTTTCGGCCCCTTTTCCTGCCGCCCCGTAAACCATGTGCCCCGTCGCAATATTGCCAAGGGGTATATCGATAATGTACCAGAGAAGTAGATGTGTGTGTGTATTTGTGGAGGGTGGAGAAGAAGGGAAAAGCCCAAAAGAAACGTGATTAGATGAAGATGCGGGCTTTGCATGCTTGCTGAAACGTGGAGCGGCACCTCCCTCAGCCCTCAAGTGAGGTCGGTGAGAAGCGGATGCAAAGCGCGGACGTCCGGATACATGCTGCTAGTAAATGTCGCCCTGGCTGGCTTGCTCTTGCTCCGCCGGCTCGGTGCCGCTTTGGCCTTGCAGTCACCGTCACTGCCCGAATCGTCGTTGACGTCGTTGACGTCGTCATTCCGGTCCGGGACTGGCTTCCAGGATCCATCCGCCGAGACACGGATGCTGCGCGCGTTAAGCCGGCCTGTGGACTCGAGCTCCTTGCGCACCCCGAGCAGGAACCCGTCCACCACAAGGCTGCATGGACGAGCGTCCCCGAAACAGCTTTTAATGGGACACCGCCATCTGTCCACGAGCGTCGGCTCGAAAATGCGCCAGCGGCACGTCGCCTCGCATACGTCTGCCTGGTGCGAGATGCATTTGCGAGATTGAGGTTTGCGCTCGCGCGTCTCGAGCCAGTTACTCAAGTCGAAGCATTCCAGGTGGGTGCATGTGGCACCTCGGACTGGCGTCTCGAACATAATGGCCGAGAACGGATCCGCAAGATCGATCGGCAGCTCCTCGGTCACCACCATGATGCTGTCGTCGTCGTCGTCATTGTTCACACTAATTCGCTTC